GCCCATTGTGTAATTGATGACCGTCATTTAGACAGGGAGCTTTCTACATAGCTCCCAAATCAGAAAATGATGGTTGCTGTTTAGAAACAGTTTGGTATGAACCAGGATGTTCAAGGCAACCCATGCATATTTCTATTAACAATTTTTAAGAAACCCATCTTAAATTATTACACAAGCAACTAACCACTTTTTTTCCTGGTAGCAACATGATTACTTATAGGAAAAAACAGGAAATAATTTGGTCATCTATGCATCACACAATAGAAACAGAATGTATGGACAAGTGCTGAGAAACTAAGAAAGCACATGATCTGGGTGATTTTGTTGAAATATGACAATCTTTTATAAAATACTCAAATGAACACCCTGATGCACCCACCAACTATGCGTATAAGGGTTCTGGTAAAATTTGACACATTAATCTTCTGTTCTGGGGGAAGGGATGGGAGGGGGGAAACCAGTTGTTTGGAGAATGTTGATAATGTTTATGCTCATGCCTCTATTCCTGCTATTGGAAAGTAATAAAATATATTAAAATAGAAACACTTTGGTGTGACAAACAGATAACTAATAGAGAGATTTTTGAAAATGTGCACCTTTTTACTTTTTTGCAGTCTGTCCCATTTTTCTAATTGCTCAGGAATGCATAGCAGAGGTAGCCAACATGGTGCCTTCCAGATGTTAGACTGCAGAACAGCTCCCATCTTCCTCGACCATTGACCATGCTGTCTGCGGATCATGGAGCCCAGCAACATCTGGAGGGCACCATGTTGCCTATCCCACTTCATAGCATTGTGTCAGCAGCATGAAGTGGGGGTGGGTACATGTAGGCTAGGGTCACAGCATCACAGTTTATGGGTTACAGCCCACAGCATATGACAGAGCGTATAGCAAGGATCTAGCTCTTAGGTAGCCTGACTTCTGGCTGATCAATCATCCCAGCCAAGACATCAGGTTGACACCTAGAGCAGTAGGAGGCATATATTAGTACTGTGGGCCTATCAGTTTACCTGGGTGTGTGGCAGATCTCCCTGCCTCTGAGTTTGACTGGGGCCATGAAACAACACCCTTTAGGGACAGTACTGGCAGGATGTATGTCCTAGAAGTGGACCAGTAGGAGAAGGCTGTAGGAATCCATCTCCCATCAGACCCAGCCAGCATAGCCAGTGGCCAGGAATAATGGAAGTTGTAATCCAACAACGCCTGTACTTGGTGAACTATTTAGGAAATGGGCTTTCTGATTGTATATCCCAGACAAGACTGCAAAATGACATTCATTTCTCACTGTGTTCCCTTTGCTCCTTCTCCCCTCTATGGAGTAGGAAGAAAGGTAGAACTGCACTGGATCTAGCAGCTTACTAAGCCTCAAAGAGTTGACTGGTGATTACAAAAGACCTTTGTTGCTTCTTTCAAGATCTCCAGAAGAATCCCAATCAATGAGACCACTAGCTATTTTAAACTGGTTGTGGACAGGACTGGTGAATGAGTCTTTACCCAGAGGCATCATAGAGGTGAGCCGAAAATTTAAGAGATAATTTTACCAAGAGGTCTGGCATGATACTGTACTACTAACTGCTTGCCTCCCACCACAAATCGCCAACTAAACTTTCCAAAATAATCTGATCGCAACAGGAAAAAGTGCTGATGTCCAATCCACATGGATTAACTTTCTCCTTTTTTCTGAATGACTAGCCAAGTGCACCTAGGATACAGTGCAATACAAAGCAATGTGGCATTAAAGAATCTGGACAAAGTACAGCAGATGATCCAGGCCCTCTTCCCCTAGGAGCTCATGTGCCAGCTGTGCTCAGGGACTCACAGCACTTGGGAAATTGTATGCTCTCAAGTATGAAGAGCACAGGGTGACTGTTTTCCTAAATCCATCATACAGAATTTTGCTAACATAAAGTATATTCCCTGTAAGAGCATATTTAGTGCATAAATGCACGTCTTTGAAAGCCCAAGGCCATTCCATGAACTGAAGGGCTTTTGATCTGTTGCGGGAGGGAGATGTTGATCAATTCCCAACTCCTCTGCTTCCCTCTTATGCCTCTTAAAAATCTGTTCCAGAAGTTTTGGGGACACTCCAGAACAACATGGAAAATGGGTGGGGGGAGAGATAAGAAAATTACCTTATCTTCCATCTGCAGAGCCTTTTACTAGATCAAACACCGTTCTGCAAATGGAATGATTTCTTCAGTTTGCAACCAATATCCTGGGGCTCACCAAGGTAAATGATCTCAGCATGGAGCGTGAATTTTATGAAAGTGTCCCCCTTCTCATTTGTTATGCAAGTGTGTCCTGGCTCATAGCAATTTCCATACTCCAGAAGAGGTGATGGCTCAAACAAGATGGTGGGAGGAAGACTCAGGTCTCCTTAAGCCACCTTTGTTCTGGTGTGAGGTCAGGACCCTGGACAGCCCCACAGACAACAGTTCTCCAGTTGAAAGCAGAAAGCACAAGCTGCCATAATGCTGTCTTGCTGCAACTTGCAGGACATTACAGTCTAGCCTGGAGGACCAAGAGAGGTCCACCTTCTGAGTCCTGCAACATACCAGTTAAAGGCCCAGTCTTCTTTGACACAGCTGTTGACTCCCTCTAGGCAGAAGAGTTTGAAGCTGAAGGGACATGGGTCATAGATACTCTTGACCTTCAGAGGATTTGGCAGTTCATTCCTTAACATCTACAAAGGTTCCAGCCAGGTGAGGAATCTAGTGCTAGAGCATCCATCTTCTCCTTGGAGGCATAACTAACACTTTGAGACTCTGAATCAAAGGGCTAAAGGCCGTCCTAATCATGATTCTCTGCTGGAGAGGAATGCCAGCCCAATGTCAACCCCAAAGGGAAGTTAAAATAACAGGACATTATCCTGCTCTTGCTATACAAAGCACAAGGAATGGAGACTCTTTCAGTCCTTGGATGCAGCAATACATTGGGCCACGACAAACCTACTCAAGACTTCTGCTCCACCCATTAGGCCATCCAGGCACTCATTCCCACCCAACACATACAGCCTTCTCCTCCTCAGGACCTGCCGTGGGACTACCATGGGATGAGTCTGCTTGAACCAGACTTGAGAGAAAAAGAAGGGGCCAAGAACTGGGACTCCCTCCAGCAGTTAATAGACTGAGAGTAAGAGGGAGCTAGGCTGGCCATGTGCCCTACTCTACCAAGGTCAGTCCACTATTTGAAGGTCTTGTCCTAATCCAGTTTAAAGATAAACAACCTTAAAATGGGAAAGTAGGAAGGTCAACCATTAGCAGCTGAATTTAGCATAATTTGGTCACAGCATTCCTCCTTATGGCAAGATGTATTGTCTTTCTTACATAAATTAGTGATACTTTCTAAATTTGCATCAGTATGTTTAATCTACTGTAAGTACATTTTATGTGACTGTGTATCCTCTTTGGCACTGTCATTGATGGTGTGTGCCTCTTGGGGTGTTTGTGCTTGTTTACTCAAAAGGTGGTGTAATGGGCCACCTCTCCTCCCTTCACAGTCTGCTTAGCAACAGTTACCTAGTCTCTCTCTCTCACCTATTTTCTTGAATATAATTTGTTTTAAACACATTTTAATATTTTATTTTTCATTTGCTGTAACTTACCATAGGATCTTATGGTAATTGGAATACAGTGGTACCTCGGGTTACATATGCTTCAGGTTACATACGCTTCAGGTTACAGACTCCGCTAACCCAGAAATAGTGCTTCAGGTTAAGAACTTTGCCTCAGGATGAGAACAGAAATCGTGCTCCGGCGGCACGGCGGCAGCAGAAGGCCCCATTAGCTAAAGTGGTGCTTCAGGTTAAGCACAGTTTCAGGTTTAGTACGGACCTACGGAATGAATTAAGTACTTAACCTGAGGTACCACTGTAGTTTATTTTGACAAGAAGAAGAAGAAGAAGAAGAAGAGGGACCAAGCTGCTCCCTTCTCCATGCCCTCTTCTATTCACCTTCTCTATCACACTCATTTGTCACATGACTTTGTGCACAGGGATCAGGAATAAATCCACTGTTCAAAGCTGATTAAAATAACAGCAAAAGCACACTTGATGCTCAAGAAATAGTGATGGCCACCAACTTGGATGCCTTTAAAAGAGGACTAGAGAAATTCACAGAGGCTGTCAATGACTGCTAGACACAATGACTGTGTTCTACCTCCACTGTCAGAGGCAGCATGCATTTGAATGCCAGTTGATCACAAATCAGGAGAGTGCTGTTGCACTTAGCTCCTTCCTGCGGACTTCCATAGGCATCTGGTTGGCCCCAGTGAGAGCAGGAAGCTGGACCAGGGGGGTCATTGGCCTGTTCCAGCAGACTCTGCTTATGCTCTGAAGATCTGAATGTAGGGCAAAGGGTACTTCATAAGGCACAAGGTTACATCCCTGACAAGGATGGTACATAACACACCACTGCCTGAACCAAATAATCTTGTTTTGGGTTTATAATGTTATGAGAAGAATGTAAACTTTCACTTGCCCATGTCGCTTTTCATCTTAACACCACATATTTGTCTAAGACATCCGCATGCCTGCATTTTCTGTTATATAAATCTCAACATGCAAATATGGAAAGTCTGACATTTGGGAGAGCAGCTCTGACAGCCAACGGGAAATAAAAATAGAATGCAGAGGTATTTAATGTAGAGTAAAATCAGATATAAATGGTGCATGGATACATCAGTCAGCTACTCTGAATCATGAATAGTTTATCTCCTCTTAATCTTTGCATTAAACACAGTTATTGCTTGGTATTTATGATGCCATTAAAATGAGTGCACACTGTCAAAAATTATTGACATCGGATGAGTCAGATCTTCTCTCTCTCTCTCTCTCTGATGTCTGCAGAGAAAGAGTCTTCATTTAGATTGTATAAGATTTGAATCAACAGCTGCTTTGTAGAATTGCCTAAATAATTTGGCCTGTGTGACTCATAGAATCATATGAGTGGCACCCAGAACTGGACACAGTATTCCAGGTGTGGTCTGACCATGATTGTACACTTCATGATTGTACACTGAAGAAATAACTATCAGTTCAGGTGACTGATATGGCTTCCCTCAGGTCTTCTCTTGCCCATTTGGTCTAAGGAGCTACTTACTAACAACGCCACAGTCTTAACTTGATTAAGCTTCAGTTTATTGGTTCTCATCCACTGCTGCACCTGCAGATGTAAAGGAGAAACAGAGCTGTGTATCACCAATATATTGCTGACAACACACTCCAGAACTTTGGATGACCAGTACCGAGGTTTCATGTCGATGTTAAGCAATTGGGTGTGGGTGTGTAAAAGAACTCCACACTTAAGGCTGCATAGGCTGAACAGAACTCCCCAAGCACCAGCCTCTAAATATTGTCATCCAATGGAATGGGAACCACCATGAATCAGTGCCACCTACTCCCAATTCAGACAGACTCTGAAGAAGAATACCATGGTTGAAGGTATCAAAAGCCACTGACTGTCTCTCTTCCAGCAGAGGTCATTGAACAGATGAGCAAGGCAGCTTCCATTCCAAAACCAGTCTAAATCCCAATCAAAATGAATCTAGAAAATTGGTTTCACCCAAGAGAGCCTGGATATGGCCCCACAACCGTGCACTCAAGAAGGGAACATTACCAACTCAACAAATCATGTTGGTTTTCTGAATCCTGGAGGGATTCCCAGAATCCAGGCCGGTGGGGACCACTCCCTCTTACTTGAAAGCATTAATAACCTCTCTGGCTGTCCCTTCCTTGTTCAACCATAATGGAGAAAAGACAAGAGCACAAATGATTGCCCAAACTGGGCCAAAACCTAGGCCATTTCCTTGAGCTTTACTAATGGAAACTCATCCAACACAACAGGGCTAGACAGTGCTCTGGACTCCAGTGCTCCGACTTCAGATTTTGACCTGAATGTGAGAATAATTTTGGGGTTTATAAACCTCACTTCTTTCAACTAAGCTGGATGAGGCTCTTATGTTCCTAGCCAAGCTTGAGCTCAGCTCAGCATTTCTAATGAACAGTATTTATTGTTCCAACCAACACAGTCATTAGAATAGCCTGAAGTATGTATAAAGTCCCCCCAGGATCTCCCATTAAGGAAACGTCAAGACGCAGCAACTGTGTTTGTTAAATGGAGACCAGTGCAACAGTCACTTTTAGCAGCATTTAAATGCACATTTTCATATATTTTTATCTTTTAATCTACTATATTTTATTGCAGTGAAATTTGTTTTTATCGAAGCTGTAGCACATAGTGAGCCCTTAGGGGCTGGGCAAAGTGATAAATGTAACTGCATAAAATGAACAAATTATAAGGGAAACTAGGTAGGTAAAAACAAGCTAAATGGACTGTGCTTGATGCGTTGGCCACCTCTGAAATTGAAACAAGAAGGCCCATTGATTATTAACGAGAATACATAGCTGAATATAGTTCAAATATTAAAAGAGTCCCCATTCCCCAGACCCTAGCAGCAGCCTAAAATGAGGAAACTAAGCTATCCCTTTATGTGGTTTTTTTGTATATAGCCTTTCAAACAAATGTATAGCCATGCGACCAACTGGGTGCCATATATTGTCTTTTAAGTAATGTAAAATAAGTTTAGTTAAACAGAAAGTATGGCACATTCCACCGTGTTGTTCCAGTTAGCCTCACTTCCTGTTCCCATCTTTCAGATTTACAGGTTTTTCCAGAACTACAAATCAAGCTCCTTTCCTGTGAAGAAAATCAAATTATATAGATCAGGGGATTTCTTCTTCTTCTTCTAGCAAGCAGGTTAGAAGTAATATCACACCATTTTAATATAGTCATAGTCAGTTTATTCCTACCCCACATTTCCCCCAAATACGTTTATGCACAAAGAAAATTAACAGCTTGTTATACTAATGCCTGCCCTTGATGCATAATAGAAGTTCTCATATGACTGCACAATAATAACATTGCAGTAACAAAACACTAACAACTCAGCAATTAACAGATCATTTAAAACACACCAAAATGTGAGCATGATACTTACCAATAGGTACGGTTTAAGAAATTTCAATGCATTCACATCCCAGAGTAGCCCCAAGACTGTGACCTTAATGCCTAAAAACAACCTCCCCACCCTGCAAAAAACCCCACTTTCAATATTCAGACCAGAACTAGAAAAATAGATACAGCCTATGTATCCAGCAAGTATCTAGTGTGACCCTTAATCTTGCTCTCTATTTCCTTCCCCCAGTTATGGACATCTGTTCTTCCTTAGAACATATACACTTCAGATACCTGTAGAGTGGCAACATGCTTGGTAAGCTACGAGTAGTGACCCTCTCATGGGAACAACCCTTCCTTCCTGGCAGGCTTTATGATGTTAGGAAGGGGATTAACATGGATAACAGTGTCGATAGTCTTGTCAACCCACAGGACTAAAGTGCAAAGTGAGTCTAGCCAAATCTTCCAGGCACAACTGAGGAGAAAATGGACTGATGCAACCTTCAGCTGCGACCCAAAAGTTCATTAATATATTGCTTTTCTCCACTTAGGCTCCAAGGACCATAGGAGCCCACTCCTAGGGGCCGTGGGGGCTTTGGCCCCCACAATAAAATATTTGAGGGGGCGGGACCCCCACAAAGTTGATGGACATTCCCATTCAAATATTGTGTGCGTATGCACTGCATCATGTGATCGATGGGCAGGGTTTACCTGGGCCCCCATAATAGTTTATTCAAGTTGGCACCCCTGATGAGGACACTTCACAGAGTTTGGTTGACAAAGACAGTATGGGACAAGGGGTTATCAGAAGCTGTCCCCATATGTATGTTTCTCCACATTGTGGATTTTCCTCAGCAAACATCTTTGCAACAACTACACATCCATAGGTAAGAAAGGTAAAGGACCCCTGGACAGTTAAGTCCAGTCAAAGGCAACTATGGGGTGCAGTGTTCATTTTGCTTTTCAGGTTGAGGGAGCCAGCCTTTGTCCACAGACAGCTTTCCGGGTCATGTGGCCAGCATGACTAAACTGCTTCTATGCACAGAAACGCCATTTACCTTCCCTCCACAATGGTACCTATTAATCTACTTGCACTGGCGTGCTTTCTAACTGCTAGGTTGGCAGGAGCTGGGACAGAGCAACGGGAGATCACCCCATTGTGCGGATTCGAACCTCTGACTTTCCGACAAGCAAGCTCAAGAGGCTCAGTGGTTTGGACCACAGCGCCACCCGCTCCCCATAATCACATAACCATGTGAAAAATGGTCACATTAACTTCCTCTAATTTATTTTTTTTTAAAAAAATTGTAAGATGTGATAAATAGTTATACAATGCCAATATTGTGTGGGTGAACAAATAGATACATCTGAGGAAGCAGAAATTAATCTATTGAAGCTTGTACCATAATAAGTTGGTTAGCCTTTAAGATGTCACAGGTTCCTTTGTTGATGTGTGTGGGTTTGTGTGAACTTCTAATGGTAACTTTGTGCTCAGTAATGATTGTATGAAGCCATCCTGAATTCCTATAGTTTATATCAGTTGGGTAGTTCAGACCCACACATCCTTGGCAACACACACACACACAAATACACACAATGTAAGAATGAGGGAGGGAGGTCCAAGAGCCTTCATTCCAGTTCTTTCCTTTTTTTGCACATTGTCTCACCAGGAAGGGACACGATCCTTTCTTCTGGCCAGACATTGGCAGAAAGGAGGAACCACTGTCCCATCTCCTTATAAATACAGATATGGGTGGTGCTGTGGGTTAAACCACAGAAACTAGGACTTGCCGATCAGAAGGTCGGCGGTTCGAATCCTCACGATGGGGTTTGCTCCTGTTGCTCGGTCCCTGCTCCTGCCAACCTAGCAGTTCGAAAGCCAATCAAAGTGCAAGTAGATAAATAGGTACCACTCTGGCGGGAAGGTAGACAGCATTTCTGTGTGCTGCTCTGGTTCACCAGAAGTGGCTTAGTCATGCTGTCCACATGACCCGGAAACTGTACGCCGGCTTCCTCAGCCAATAAAGTGAGATGAGCGCCGCAACCCCAGAGTTGGTCACAACTGGACCTAATGGTCAGGGGTCCCTTTACAGAAGGTTGAATCTTAGGCAGGCTAGTCCACTTCCATAGCAGCTAGGAATATATGGAGCTGCCTTATAATGAGCCACGCTCTTGATCCATCTAGCTTGTTATTGACTACACAGCTTGGCAGTTGTTCTGCAGGTTTTCAGACTGGGGTTTTTCCACAGACCTACCTGGAGATGCCTGGGAACGAAACTAATACCTTCTGCCTGCAAAGCAGATGTTCTATCACTGAGTTGCAGCCCTTTCAATAGAGTTTTACTGTATGTATCTGATGAGGAAAGAGGTTTTCACTGTCGGGGAGGGAGGGTGTACCAAAAGATCTTTCTTTAAGGGCCCACAAAAAATAAAGCCAGGTCTGTGTCACTGACTTACAAAAAGCTCTTCAATATTCAATATGGGGTTTACAAAGCATTCCTTCAAATGGGGTCTATGATATGTCTGGAGGGTGGGGCTGCTTTTCCGCACTCATTAAACAGACATGCCAATAGCCCGGGGCTTCTGCAGTCGGTCTCTTGCTCCAGACCTCTTTTGCAGCAATGAAGAATAATAATGATGAATATGCTTTGGAATTTGCTTTTTTTTCTTTCCCCCAAACAAATATTGAAGTTTCGACAGATCATCATGGGGCCTGATGAGACATTAAAGTGTCACCTGAACCAGATTTCAATTTCTTTTTAAAGCACAAAATGATTTCTTTTCCACATCCCACTATATAACTCAAATGAAATCAGAAAGGCCATTTATAATTACCTTCAGACACAATTCAGATGAACAGGATTGCTGATGCATCTGCCATTTTCGGCCTAAAGAGAGGGTAGGTAGCTTTCGGTGCAGAATCATGCTAGCACCAGAGACCATTTTGTGTTGATGATACAAATATGGCTATCAAGGCTACTTTTTCTTCTTCACTTTATTTTATTTAATTGAAATGTGTGTGTGTGTGTGTGTGTGTGTGTGTGTGTGTGTGTGTGTATATATGGGGCCATAAAGTCTGCTAGCCACAATGACTATGCTCTGCCTCCATAACGAGTGGCAGAAATTCTTTTGAATGCCATTTGCTGAAAACCACAGGAGAGGAGAATGCTCCTGTACTCGAATCTTGCTTGTGAGTTTCCCATAGACATCTGGTTGGCCACCAGAGGCTGTAGCTTGTGATAGTGATGTGGGGAGCAACACTGCATATGTGATGTCAGGATATTGGGAGCAGTTGGGGGCAGAGCCAAACGTAGTGGCAGCCTGGCATCAATGGTCAGTGGCTCCTCCACTTTCTCCTCCTGGTGCCTCCACCAGTGGGAAGCTGCTTCCACCCTCCTCTTCCTCTGCAGCAGGAGCAGGAAGAGGAGCCGGCCACTGGAGCTGCGCTATGCTCAGATCTGTGCTTAGCCTCCTCCACTCCTCAACGTAGGGGGCCCCCAAAGATATTGAGGAATCTCAAATCAGCTCGGTCCCCAGGAGCTGGCACCCTGTTAGCCACCGGGAGAACAGGATGCTGGACTAGAAGGGCCCTGGCCTGACCCAGGAAGACTTCTTATGTGGAGAACAGAATGTGTTACCTGGGTCTTCCATGAAGAAGGAAAACATGTGGAAACTTAAGAATATAGTGAACTGAAACAATTGTGGAAATTCCTATGACAGACACTCCATTAAAATGTGTACCTCCAGAGCGTAGGGTGGGACTGGGGAACCATTTTCAAACTAAGGGCTTTATTGCCCTTGGATGACTTTTTAGTTGGTGGTGCCAGGGGAAAGTGGGCAGGTGAATGGATATTTGCACAGCCTGTCTGTCTGTCTGTCTGTCTGTCTGTCTGTCTGTCTGTCTCTCTCTCTCTCTCTCTCTCTCTCTCTCTTTGGCAATTACTCGTAGCCGAGTAAGATTCTACAAACACACTTTTAACAGTGAGTCTGTGACTGTGGAGGCCAGTTCTGGATCCACACATCCGTCCATTGTGGGGACATAGGTTTCTGGGTAGGAGTTGATCATGATGAGGGTTTGCCAAGCGTGCCTTCCTCTTAGCGTGTTTCTCCCTTTCGTCCTGAGTTCAAGCGTCTTCAAAACCCATGACACTTTTGGTAAAGGCTGTTCTCCAACTGGAGCACTTGCAGGCCAGTGTTTCCCACTTGTTAGTGTTTATACTACATTTTTTTAGATTTGCCTTGAGAGAGTCTTTGAACCTCTTTTGTTGACCACCAGCATTATGCTTTCCATTTTTTAGTTTGCACAGTAGGCTACATTTGAGCCATGCAAGAGTCAGAGGTTTCTATTCCCACCCATATATCTGCATCTTCCATTCAGGCAAGCAGGAGGTATTGGTCAGAGCTCAAGGATATCTTCCATCCTGGCAAAGTACCTGAGGAGAGTACAAAACAGGGTAGCTGAAGGTCATGGTCTAATAATGACCAGATAGAGAGACCTAGGTAGCTGCATTTGACCCCTAGCTGCAAGCTGCCACCACCAAACCTATTATTAGTAATATTTTAATTTATGCCACTTTTATGCAAAAATAGATTTTAAGCAGTTTACAACCACAGAATCCATGATAAAATCCATACAAAATTATTGCTGCGTATTTCAACACAACAATAATTCAATCAGAGCTTGAAATCATCCTCAATTAAAATATACAATAAAGTAAGCCAGTTAAAATGCATGGCAATTAAACAATAAAATCAGAAGTTCAAATTCAGGGGAAAGCTTTCCTAAGCAGGTGTGTCTTCAGAAGCTGGCAGAATGCCAGTACTGATGGGGCCTCTCATATTTCAGCAGGGAATTCATTCCATAAAACTGGTGCCACCAGTAGAAAAGCCTGTTTCTGTATTCCTATGAGCCAATAATCATCAGGTCATGTCAAAACTAACAGTATTCCATTTGCTGATCATAGTGCCCTACTGGACAGTGGAGGAGAAAACAGGTTGTTGTTTTTCAGGTAACCCGATCCAGGGGTATTTGAGGTTTGTACGTAAGAACATTAAAACTGGCTTGGTGGCTAATACACAGTGCATATCAGCACTGGGATGATATGTATCTGATAAGGAGCACCATGCACCAGCCATGCTCTGGCATTCTGCACCAGAATGTACGGCTTTATCACGTAGGCATCATTTTGAGTGCAAAATGGACTTGACTCGAAGGCAATCACAGAAGCAGACAGACAGCTATCATTCTAAGTTGAATGAATCAGGGGACATAGATCTTAGGTGTTGAAATGAAGTTCTTAAGAGATCTGTGTAAAACTTGCATAC